TCAAGAAGATTCTCGAAACCGAGTGGTTATGCAGGTACTTCGGTTTCAATGGCTACATCATAGACGATTTTACTTTACGGAAATTGCACCAAACACAATTGCACATTTACTTCCAGAAGTCCATTTTTTTAAACTCCATTGTACTTTGTTCACTGACACAGAACGTAAAGTGACGTGAAAAAAGTAAGAAAAAAAAAGAGGTCCCCGTTTTAAAAGTGGTAAAAGGAAAGAACAAAACCAAACAAGAAAAATATTGTATACACATTTAACCCATAGCCACCCGACCTGATCCCACCGTCCTCCCATTACTGGCATTAAATCGAAAAACAATTACGCGGCGAATTTCCTGCTAAGCTTGGCAATGACTATTTTCGCAAAAAAGATTAGCATCGTTACTTCCATATTTCGTCAATATCAGGAAAACTCACTGTGCATGGCCACAACACTGAAGATGAAACCCAACGAGAGAACGAGAACAATGACGGGGTCGACCTTGAGTCCGGGGGACTCGTCGGTGTAGAGCTTCAACATGGTGCTGCTGCTTCCACCGGCGCCGGCAGCGCGGGTGCTCGAGGGGCGGGCATTTGCTGCCTGAGCAGCCCTGTCGGCGGCGGTCTTTCGGCGCATAACAGCCTTAGGACCTCCGGGGACTGCCGGAGATGACGCACGGGCCGATGAGCGGACATCGCGCTCTGAGCCAGAAGTGGCACCGGTGGGAGAAGTTGCGCGTGGTGAGGAAGACTAATAATTACTTTGTTAGCACATTGGTTCTCACAATGGTGTAGTGCATGCAGGCTAAGCGCAGGGTCCTGTGCAAGCTTGGAGCATGCGTGAAGTTTGGGCATGGATTGATCGTTTGTTTGATCTTCTCCCGATGCGCTCACTTGACTCATTACTCCCAGCATCGCATTCATCTCTGACTCCCTTTGTACTGGTGGAGAAGCTTGATGAGGCCAAGGGTCGCTACCCGAGGCGAGAAAGAGACTGTAGAACATACCATTTTTAGAAGAAAAGTTTGCTGAAGACTCAAAGAGCTAGGGAATGACTGGTGACCGAAAGAATGGGTGTTGAGTCAAAGAATGGGTGATGTGTGTTATTGTCAAGGTGAGTTGATCGGTCGAGGTGTGGTCCGGGGAAAGCTTTGAAGAAAAGGTAAAGGGGTGTTGGGGTTGCCGGCCAGAGGACACATCTCGACTTTCTTGCGGCGTTAGTGGTTGTGCTAGGGTTAGGTGTCACAGGATCCATGCAACTCCAATTACCATATATGGACATCAGCATCTGGAGATTTGGTTTCAGGCGCCGGCATAAACATCTATAAATGCAAGGCACTTCTAGTCGGATTCAGAAGTGTTGTTCTCTAAACTCTTCTAGCCCCGTTCTCTACCCCAGAAAAGCTGCTCCCACCCTGCAGCAACCAATATTACGCTTTCAGGCGTTGCTCAGGCTGTACCATGCAGCATAGTGGAAGAGAAGTTGGCCGAGATAATCAATTATAAGTGAGTATTCCTGGTGGTTTAAACATTGTATCTGTAATTCTGATAGGTTGCGGGTTGAAGGTAGATAATCTAACTGGCATTGGATGATTTGATCAACAGAAACTGTTTCGAGACGCATCCTAGTGCCATGGTTGTACTCATATCAAATCGCGCCAAGACGTTATCAGCAGATCCAATTCCAGCATTACTTGGTTTATCATTCAAAACGAAGAGACAAGATAGTTCTTAAGAAGCCCCTGAGCTAAATAAAGAGATCTAGCCCTCACTAGTTGGGCTGTATTACGTGCTTACAGGTGTCGCCATCCAGGGTCTTCAAGATCTACTATTCAGCACTACTAATGGGGTCAATAAGTAGTTTCTGGGAGTAGACAGCCCTTTAAAAGAAGTCTGAAGACACGTATTTTGAGCAACCCATATATATCACTGGGGGATATCAAATAGTACTATATGTCTATTAATGATGATACCCTCTATGGTTGCCTATTTAATTCGACAAGGTGTATTAATACCTCACAACGTAAATAACGCGAGTACGTCAATGAGACAAGGCCATGTCAAGGACTTTTTTGTTTGAGGGCCAATCTATGACAGGATAAATTCACGCCCCGAGTTAACAAATTTGGATAATCTAAAATCAGATGACATTAATTGGGGAGAAGGGTTTCAGTGTTGAGTAGACCTCAAACAGCATTCATCGTGTTGGACTATTACTATCTGGAACCCGTCGAGTGAAACCAGGACAAGACAGAAGATGGACATACATGGTTTTCCACTTGACTACACGCTCTGTTGATGGCCGAACATTAATGAATTGGGCATCCATCGGGTTGGTTAATCAGTAGCCATCTTTCTATCACCTGCTAGCTGGTCTGCGCATAAAAGGAACAAGAACCTTTTCAAATCATGCCTATATCACCGTGGAGAAACTACGTACGTACTCCATACTCCTGAATTAAATACAAGACCTGTTCAGACAGCCACTATTTTTGCTTCAGTAATTTTCACTTTATATATTCTTCATCAGATGCCCTTAATCATGTAGGTAACCACAAGTACAAATATGGCCTCGCAAGTCGATATACCTCAAACACACTCATCTCTTAAGTTTTAAAGAATATATATCTGGTACCACACCCGCTAGGTCATCGAAGCTCATCTCCTTGATCTTGGCCACATTTTCGTCTCTTTATAGGCTAAGGGGTTTGACACGCGGATTGACGAGAGAAATAGTTCGCTTCCACTCGATCGTGAGGCACCGGGGTAAAGTATTATCTCCGCTCAGTCCTTCAGAGTTCTAGGGTTTGTGGTTCATTACGATAGATGATAATAGACGCCCGCGTGCGCTCAAAAATGCCCCTTGTATGGACGTTTTCTAATAGCTATCTGTGCTCACGGTTCAATTGCAAAGCTGGCAAAGAATAGGGCCTCAACCTATTTGAGCTGTTAGGCCACACCGCTCGTCGTACATACATACACGTAGGCTTAAAATAAGCGTTACGGTACATAGCCTCATGGGGCCATATCTTGCTTTGTCCTCAAGGGATCTGTCAACGTATGCTGCACTGTAGTAATTACTGCATACTAGGTGCGAGAATATCAAACCCCGAGGTATTTACCTGGAAGATAAAACTTCGGGCCAAGTCTTTAAGCTTGCTTAGAATGGAGGATTCTAGGACCAAGATTGTAAATGCAAAGGATTAAGAGGTTTATTGGTAATAACCTATTAGCTCTCTTTTGCTAATGAGCCCTTATCATAGAGTAGGGAGGGGGTATTAAGTTTCAAAACAACCATTAACTATGCACAGGTTAAATAAAAGGGCCCGGACTCCTTATTAAAAAGGAATTGAGTCGATTTTCCCGTTGAAGGAGTATGCGAGTGATAGTTTATGAACGAAGACGAGTACCAATCTTTACTCTTTTCGTTTCACGAATAACAAGTAAAGAATTTGATTCTAGATAGAATCAATATTCTTTCATCCTACCGACACAAATAAATGGATAATCGATGGTTGTATCTATCACTCAAACTGCCGGTCTATGTTATAGTTATGCGCCCTTAATAACCAGATCTAGAGAGGAGATCATGACACGGATAAGTACACGTAGTTCTGAAATTGAATAGGCATACAGCATGATGAAGAAGCCACCGTAAAAGGCCGCCTCATACTCAGTATTATAACTAATATGCCCGGTTAGGTATACCACTATGGTCTGAGCTGGCAAATATATACCTTAACCGGGGGCCTTTTGCCTCTAGCTGATCTTTGAATGAGTGAAATTTGAGACTCCGCCCAAACATCGATGGGCTAATGAGGAATTATCGTAAACTTGTATTACTACTACAACCCACCGGCAACCACAGACTTTTATTATTTATATATGCACTTTGGATGTTTCGCCCTCTGTTGTGTACGCTTATTCCCCCGCGAGACCTGGCTATAAAGTCCTAGCGTAATCAAGCGAGTGAGGGGCTATGATCCGTTGCTAGGTTAAAGCGCATCTTACGTCGTTAACGTTGTCCTCTTTGACCACGCTTCAATCGTCAACCACGTCTCATAAAAGATAGGAGACCATCATGACGCGTTCCATGATAGGTCGGGGAATTCATCTGGAAGTCTTGGGATTGTCGACTGTCCCTTAAGGCCCATCCGTCACGGTTTGCGCTGCCTCGCTTCCCCAACACCCAAACTCATATATCAACACCAAGTAACTACGGCGTCTGTATAATAATGAAAGGCCATTTAATACCCAAATGGTTGTTTTCCACGGCCAGTGACGAGGGAGCGCTTAGTCACTAGCATTGGATTAGGTGATGAGATGAAGTAATGGGAAGTCTTTGGTAACAACAAGAACCCTGAGAATTCAGTTAAAAGGACTGTAACCCCAAAGAAACCTCCAACTCTAGCCAATCCCATCATCTTCAAAATCCCTGTTACATGCTTCTCTTGTGAGGTGCAGCAGCAGATGTTGATGTTGTCGTTGAGATTGTGGGAGTTACCCTGCAGGGCCCAGGGCTCAAGCCCTACCCTAGCAGTCTCAACACATTCCACAATCCTCGCACCCGCACCCACCGCGGCTATTGATTCTGGGTGTGGGAATTGCCCAAAGGAAAAGTGACGAACAGCAACCAAACCAACCTCAACAACAGACGACAACCACGACCACCCCTCGAAGATAGCAACGTGAGTTTCCTTGTCCTCTTGATCCTCCCTGGGAAAAATTGATTGTTGCATCGTGCTGATTGAATCTTTTATACAGAATGGGTACGTTACTCCGAGAGAAAAACATCCCGTGCTTTTTTTCTTTTGGTGGTTTGGCGATGGAATGCAACGGTGGATTGGAGATGGAGGTAAAGATGGATGGGGTTAGCGAAAAGCAGGCTGGAGCTACAAGGACAGTAGCAGAGAACAAGAAGAGGCGGGACAGGGTTGGGGTTCACCACCATGGTGGTGCTATGTTTCTCTGCTACTGGGGGGAAGAATGAAGCCTCCATCTCCATCCTCCATGTCCAACGAACCCGAACCATACCGCCAACAAACAGAAGAAAAAAAGAAGAAAACTTATAAAAGCAATGACGCTGACAGCAAGCTTTTTTTTTCTTCAACAGGTCGCCTTCAAGAATACCAAGTCATTGGGCGCAAGCTCCCGTCGGAAGCCGACCAGACCCCCAAGCTTTACCGCATGCGCCTGTTCGCTCCCAACACTGTCGTCGCTAAGTCCCGTTTCTGGTACTTCCTTAAGAAGCTCAGGAAGGTTAAGAAGACCAACGGTGAGATCGTGTCTTTGAACGAGGTACGTTTCTAGCAAGTCCCGTCATTTGGGAGAGAATGGGAGGAAAGAAAGTAGAGAACAGGAATATATAAGGAATGGCTGTTGATACATTGGGGGAATTTATAGATCCACGAGAAGCGACCCATGAAGGTTAAGAACTTCGGTATCTGGATCCGTTACGACTCTCGCAGCGGCACCCACAACATGTACAAGGAGTACCGTGAGCTCTCCCGTACAGATGCTGTCGAGGCCCTCTACCAGGACATGGCTGCCAGGCACAGGGCTAGATTCCGGTCGATCCACGTAAGTAGTCCGTTCAAGCCCTCGTCCTTGAGGAAGAAGACTGACATTTCTGCGTAAAAATAGATCCTCAAGGTTGTCGAGATCGAGAAGAACGCGGACGTCAAGCGCCCATACACCAAGCAGCTCATGACCAAGGGTCTCTCTTTCCCTCTGCCGCACCGTGTGCCGAAGAGCTCTGCACGCAAGGTGTTCAGCTCCAAGAGGCCCAGCACCTTCCACTAAACAAACAATCTTCCTTTTTTCTGTTTTGTGTTGGGGGTATTCTGTGCTTGTGGTCGGTTGTGTGAGGAGCCGGGGGTCAAAATTCTGTGAACATAAAAATTTACGGGTTACATGGGGTTTTTTCTCTTAAAACAAATAAATAAAAAATAACTCCAAAAAATGTTCCAGTGTATTGGCTCCGGGGGCAGGAAAAAAGGGGTTTACTTTCTTTTTCCTGTCTTTTATCTTTTTTTCTTCAGGGGGATGATTTCTTTGTAAGAGATTTGTCGGCTTCCAAGCACACAAGCACCTAGCATTCAGCAGCACAAACGAAAAGAAAGAGCAAAAAAAACAAATGGATAAGATACCTCAGGTGTTATTACTTGGTAGATAGTGATGTCGGAGTTTTGGTTTCTTTTGTCTTCTTCTCTTTGGGATGCGATGGCATGTAATTTGGATTTCCTTCTTTCGAAAAGCATAGTTAAAAACAATGAATAGCACCTTTGGAATAGAAATACTAGTCCATAGATCAAGAAATATAAATACTCACAGATATGAATTTGTAGAGAGTCGACAAGAGCGATATCTGACGACTGCCAAGAAAGAAAGCATTCTGTGGGGTTGGTTTGACTTTTCGAATGTCGTCCCCACACGTGACCCCAGAGCCGCATCCCCACCACCGGGGAAGCTCCAATATCTTTAACCTCACCTCCAGACCCCCGAGCAGTGACCTCACTCACTCTCTCCACGCCTACCACCACCACCATGTCGGCTCTCTAGTAAGCCCTCTTCTACCCCTTCCTCCTCCAAGAGCCCCCCATAACTAACCCAACCACAGCAAACAATTCCGCCTCGCCCTCAAAACGCAGAACGGCCAAGCCCTCGGTGCCGTCTTCTCCCCGCGTAACGCCGATATATCCTCCTTCGCCTTCTCGACAAACCATGCAAACGCGCGCCGCGACATCGAGTATGAGCTCTCACAGCTGCCCGCAAAGTCTCGCCCTGCGTGGGTCGAGGCCTTCATAGGACTGTGGAAGGTCGCGTATACGCTGGAGCGCGACGAGGAGCCAGGCGCTTGGGCGAGGGCGTATGAGGGCCAAAAGGAGACCATGTTGGCTGTTGTGAGAGGGTACCAGAATGCCAGTTGGCCGCATTGGACTCTGCCTGTCATGTATACGGCGTGTAAATACCTGAGGACGATTGCGATGAAGGCGGATGAGGAGGGGAAGACGGGGTGTTTGGAGGATGCAGCGAGAATCGTGAATAGGGCGTTTACGGTGTGTATCAGTGATCGGTAGGTCTTTTTGTTTTTGTTTTTGAGAGGTGTGGGCTAATGGAGAGAATAGAGCGCCGTTAGAGGAGTCCCGAAAATGGGGGACATACTACATCGTCAACCTCCTATTCAAGACATACTTCAAGCTTAACGCTATAACCCTGAGCAAGAATATTCTCCGCGCACTAGCCGCCACAACCGCAGATATGCCGCCACTCAGCGCGTTCCCGAAGGCGCACCAGGTCACATTCAAGTACTACGTCGGCGTCATCTATTTCCTAGAAGAAAACTACGCCCTCGCCGAAGAGAACCTCATGGACGCATGGAAGCTCTGCCATCCGGACGCTACAAAGAACCAAGAGTACCACCCCCCTCTTCAACTCACACCAACCAGCTAACTGACTGACTCCGGATAGATTAATCTTAACCTACCTAATCCCCACCAAGCTCTGCACGACACACACGCTTCCCACCACTGCACTTCTCTCCCGCTACCCCCGCTTACACGCGCTATTCGCCCCCCTCTGCACAACAATCAAATCCGGTAATCTCCTCGCATTCGACGCTGCCATGGCCGCCGGCGAACAAGAGTTCGTCAAGCGCCGTATCTTCCTAACGCTGGAGCGCGGAAGAGAGATCGCGATGAGAAATTTGTTCCGTAAGGTGTATCTGTACTGCGATAAGAGTACAAGGATACCAGTGAGGACGTTCCAGGCGGCGATGGGCAGTGGGAAGGTCGAGGTTGAGGGCGAGGAGGTGGAGTGCCTAATTGCGGGGCTGATATATAAGGGCCTGGTGAAGGGGTATATCAGTAGGGAGAAGCAGATGGTCGTGTTGAGTGGGACTATGGCGTTTCCGGGAACGGGGGTCTAGGACGGTTTTATTTTGCATTTTCGTTTTTTCCCTTCTACTTTTGGTTTAGCTTACGCTTTTTTTTTTTTTTTTACGGACCTTGATGGATGATATGATATTCTTAACGGCTGAAATACCTTGAATAACTATATAGATGGGATTAGATGGGACTCGAATTGATATCAACGCAATGCGGCCATAAATCCTGTCAATTACAGACCTAGAAACCGGTCGTCTAGTACGCAGCCAGCAGAACATGAAGGGCCGGGGCTTGCTGTAAAATCTGAAAACCGTGGAATTGAAAGAAGATATTAGGATAGAAAGAATCAGGATAATTCTGCCGCTTTGTGGGGAAATCTGCTTGGAAAGTTACTAAAAAACAGCCAGGGTTAGAAAAGTTTCGTAGGGGGATTGGTATCTCCTAATCTTCATAACATATTTAGCCAGGGGATGGGAGTTGAAACCTAAAGGAAAATGGTATTCAAGTCCTTCCTACATCATGATCAGTTTTACGCCTCTGCAGCTATGGTCCAACTTGTTATTCCTGGGATTATTCCTATCGAGTGATCGCCTGTGATTTACCGAGTGATAACGCATGATGACCGCGCAGATCTACTTCCTCCCACCAACGCCGCCACACCAGCTCCGACCCACCAAACCATCTATCACACAGATATAGAGCACAACACAGACAGATTCATTACCAACTAGCAGCACGAAACCCACAACGCCGTAGATAGGATGAGCACCACGTCTGTACGTCTGCAGTGCCCATATGCATCGGTCCCTCATGAAATAACAGTCCTCTCCTCATTGCATGGAGAGTTACCCGCCTAATTCCCCTTCAATGCTTCTCTTGTGTTGGTATCAGGCTCTTCTGTGTGTTTTCGTACTTGATTCTACTGCACTACATAGAACAAGATAATAGTGAGAACAACATGTCCCAATTACACCAGGAGAAATCTATGAGAGACATATTATCCATGGTGTCACGATCTGAACCTAACATACATGGGCAGTTAGACCCTTTGGATTCATAATGAGGCCTTTCGCGCTTTGTGAAGTTATTTTGGCTCTGTTTACGACTCGAAACGACATATTGTTCAGATATCATACCTTATTAGCATCGATAACAGGCTGTGACCGGAGCCCACACCAAGATGCAGCAAAGCGCCAGGCTTGGCACACAGTCGCTCACTCGAGCTACAACATGGTAACGCGTTTTTCCTATTCCAACGCGTCCGTCATTGAAACAGTGGTTAATAAATAGAATCACCTCCACCGTGCGCCTCATATACTACTCTCGACCCTGTGAGTGGTCCTTGACAGATGAGGCTAGTATACACCACCGATCAAAACCCCGATGATCATTGGAGGGAGACTACAGTGTTCACTGTATGCGCATTAGTTTGGGCTTCTTGCTTCCTGGCGTGTTGATTCACCTAGGGGCATGCGTGGCGGCAAAGCTACCGTTTCCAGTTCATCTGTCTTCAGTGCCTCTCACTGTGCTCATATATCTCATGACATAAAAGTTGGTTGTTTTGAGAGAATCAAATCCCCTCCTTGACTTAGGTGAAGGCGAGTCTTCTCATGCCCGAACAAAACACACTCACTCAAGGCGATACTCTGGGATCGGAACACGAACCAGCCAGCTGTATGCTCTGGATGTTCAGCCATCTCTCGACCACTTTACGTGGTAGGCCGACATACGTTAGACTGCCCTGCATAGTATTTGTGTAATGGATATTCCCAGGGAGTTGTGGGCGGTACGGTTAATAGGAAGCGTGCTGCAGGTTTGGGCTCGGAGGAAATGATAACTAAAATGACCAACATAACGCATGCCGCAAATGATCTGACTGTGTATGAGGTTTGCAGAGAATGCTCCCGTAGAAGATACCCTTAAGATTAATCTGGGAGACGTAGTGGATAGCACTGTGGAGGATACTATGGGGACACTGTCGGAGGCCATGGACCCCAAGTCTACCAACACATCAACAAAACTCCCTAAGTATGCTTGTACACACGACTGTAAATATATCGATATTCCGGGCCAACAGTCAGCTCACTACATCTGTAATCAAGAATGTCGAATCCCGGAAAACTCATAACCAGCGAGTAGTTAATGGCCGATCTTTACCAGGTACAAGTGAATTTTAACGCTCAGACCCAGTGCCTTTCAACATGTTGGCAGATTCTGGCCATTTTCATGGTGGCCCAAGGGGTGGTCACCGAATACCACGAGATCCTCTTATCGCTTAGGAGACCCTTTATCAGTTATTGATCTTCACTAAAATTTGGCCCCCACGCGAAATCGCTACCCTCCGAGTGACCCCTCATGATCACACACAATAACACCTCCTTCTTGTATGAGTATTTTGAAGGTTGAGATTAACCAGCCGGTACTTCAGTGTTTTCTGCGCCGTTCTCAACCGAGCCTGCCAGGTTGAAGCTGGCTGAGGAAGCTCTTTCAATTCGGTAGCTGCAAATGCATCAATTCAACTAGTGCGTATCGAAACATTGCATGTTTCAAACCTGAGACACAGCGCGACGTATCAAAATGCTAAAAGTATCCCCCGGTTGTACACATTTTAAACTCGAGTACAGCGCATATTCGAATCGGAACATTTATTCCTGGGACTTTTTTGCAACATGAGAGATTTGCCTGAATGGCTGGCTAGAGTAGAGTAGAAGATGAAATGAGATAGATGCTCTTGTCCTAGGAGAGCTGTCGTCCGTCCCACATTGCTGTGTTGAGTGGTTGAATGCAGTCGAAGGTGCGGATAAACTGCAGTCGAAGGTTTCTCCGTTCCCCAGATTTTCTAGGGCTAGGGCCAGTACTTTAGGCTAAACTCAACGCCCTTTCGACTTTTGAAGGTCACATGAACCTCCCCGCCGCGCGACCCTGAAGGAAGAAAAGGCTTTTTTGAACGACCGCAGTAAGAGGAAGAAAAAAGAAGAAGATGGAGATAGAGCTCTCTGACCGATGATATTATTAGGCAATTTACTTCATCCATTGGGACTGATGATGCGATGTCGAGAGAGCCCATTAGGCTATCGGATGGAGACCTGAGACAATAAGGGCCCAGGAACCGCTGCTTCCACCGGTTCACGGTCAATGCATCGTCAAACTCACGATCCCCGGTGTTTCCCCCGCCGCTACCTCTTCTTGTGTGGGGTTGGGAGCACACTTAACTTGTGGAGTTGAAGAAAGCTCTCGGCTGAATTGCTCGGATAATAGCGAAAACCATCCGCAGGGCATCGCATCTCAATTAGCAACATGGGATAGTGAAACCCGAGGTTTGACCGATGAGGGCAAACATTTTGATGCATGAGATGTTTTAAGCAAAGGTTAACAGATCTTTTCTTTTCTTTTTGCTCTGTCTTTCCCACGAGGCCATCTGTAATTCTCAAATACTAGCTAGCGTCTTTTTACAGTTGTTGCCGGGAATTTATCCGCGATAGTAGTCTACTGCTAGCAGCGGGTAGGGTATACCGTTAGTGCTTGACATGACGGATTGCAAAATGTACTTGGTAGCAAAGGAGGGGCAGTATATAATCCCCCAGCTTTCATCGAACCACTTCAGTTCTCTCTATATCACATCTCGTCGTTCTGCATCTGAAGCTCTTAAAGTAAGAAAAACCAAAGAATCCATCTCCATCTCCATTTTTATCTCCATCCTTTATGATGTTTGTTCGCCCAAGTGTGTTTCGTGTTCTGACATCATTTCCCAGACGATATATCTCCAAACCCTCATCTACCCCGCACATATCCTACTTTTCCCCCATCCGTAAATTTTCAACCTCCAAAATAGCAGCTATGGTCAACGTTCCAACCATCAAGCTCCAGCCTTCCGGCGATGAGATGCCCCAGGTGGGCTTCGGACTGTGGAAGGTCACCAACGCAACCTGTGCCGACCAGGTCTACAATGCCATCAAGACCGGATACAGATTGTTTGACGGAGCCTTTGGTGAGTGCTCCCAATTGATTTTTGCCTACTGAGAATTATACTGATATTAGAGACAAGACTACGCAAACGAGAGGGAAGCCGGTGAGGGTGTGAGACGTGCTATCGCTGACGGACTCGTCAAGCGTGAGGACCTCTTCATCGTCTCCAAGCTCTGGAACACCTTCCACGACAGGGAGCACGTCATCCCAATCACCAAGCAGTCACTCGAATGGTGGGGTCTTGAGTACTTTGACCTGTACTACATCCACTTCCGTAGGGTCCCCTCCCCCATAAACCTAATCATTGGGCAAACGATAGTTATTGACATGACAAAACAGCCGTCGCTCTCGAATACGTTGACCCTGCAAAGAGCTACCCCAGCGGATGGCACACACTCGAGAAGAAGATTGTCCAGAGCCGAACCCCCATCCAGACCACCTGGGAGGAGATGGAGAAGCTCGTGGACCAGGGTCTTGCCAAGAACATTGGTGTCTCTAACTTCCAGGGTGCTCTCCTCATGGATCTCCTCCGTTATGCCCGTATCCGCCCTTCGGTTCTTCAGATTGAGCACCACCCGTACCTTACACAGGAGACTCTTCTCTCTCTTGCTAAGGAGGAGGGTATTGCCGTCACTGCATACTCGTCATTCGGACCCCAGTCCTTCCTTGAGCTCGAGATGAAGAGGGCCACTGATACCCCGACTTTGTTTGAGAACAATATTATTAAGGACATTGCCAAGAAGGTTGGAAAGACCCCAGCTCAGGTCCTCCTGAGATGGTCAACCCAGAGGGGATTGGCTGTTATCCCCAAGAGTAACGCCCAGGAGAGGCTGTTGCAGAACTTGGACGTAACTGGGTGGGATTTGGAGAAGGCCGACCTCGAGGCGATCTCTAGCCTTGACAAGAACTTGAGATTCAACAACCCTACTGATGTGAGTTATATTCCTTCCTTCCTAAATTACCATTCCGAGATGATGATACTAATGTTTTTTGCGAAAAATAAGTACCTCGGAACTCTCCACATCTTTGGTTAAAAAAGATGTTTGTATTTTTGTGTTTTGCTTGCTTTGGGAAAGAAAAAAAAATTAGCTTAACAGGTTTAGCATGCGCATGTATTGCTTGTAGTTGTAAATAGAAATCAATGGACTTGATGTGAACAAAAAAACAGCACTCCCACTAGTGACCAATATCAAATTTTCCCGGCCTGCATCAACACCGCCTAGAAGCTTCTCCTAACACTCTAGAACATGCACGCCTCAGCATAGTCAAGCAGGCGAAGTTGTGACGTTACTTTACAGTAGCATATCTAGATCTAGGTTCATACAGCACCTGCACGGACTCTCGCACCCACCAATTCCAAATCGCAAACGCCACGGCTGAGGCTGTGCAGAGCTCTTGGCACCACTTACCGCTAGCTGTTCCTGCTGGTGCTTCACGAATCATGCAAGGTCTCGAGAGGCGCCAACAAGCCGCTGGACAACACCTCCCTCAGCCATTCCAATTCTAAGGGTTCCTCGGGGAGGATAGGAGGGTGAGATAGAAATATAAAGCCACCACCCACCCACCACTTGTGACTTACCTACCCAACTCAACTTGCTCCTTTGCTCTTGAACATCTCACATCATCACAAACAAAACTACGAAAACTATCCGAAGCTTAGACATACTTTGAAACCATGCCTTTCAGCTACTCCAAACACTTTAACGCAGGCGGGCGCGCGGGATTCGGCGTCACGGCGAATAAGCACGGCGTCAGGCCGCACTTTAGGTTCAGATTCTGTGGGCTCAACTGTTTCCGCTGAGCTATCTAGCTGCTGTGTCTAAGGTGGGTTTGGTTGTTGATTTTTTTTTTCTTTTGGAGCGGTGGAGTTGGTTGCTAACAGTGGTTGTGGTAGATCTACACAGATCTGATCTGCGATGCGATTGATGAGTGAACGAATTAAACGAAAAAAAACCTTAAAAACCTTATTTTTCTTTTTTTTGCACTTGCACGGATTTTTTTTCTTCTTCCCCTTGCTTGATGATGAGGGGAGGGAGGGATTTATAAGGATGGAGTTTTGTGTTGGCGGGCGGACGGACGGGTTTGAATGGAATGGAATGGTACGGCCGGATGGATGGGCGGGGCGGCTCTTTTTTTTCTTTTCTTTGTTGATAGCATTATTACATTTAGCCTCCTTCTTTTATACTCTTGATTAAAGGAATTCAACTCTACGAGAATCACCTTGTTAGCGCAATTCTCTATTTATCTAATACGAATTTATCTGAACGCGGGAGTTCAATAGCTGTGCTAGCTGGCGAAGATTGCTGGTATGTAGCTAGCTGATGACGTTGAAGACCCGACTATTATTATAATGACACATCTATATAACCTACTACTCATCTAGCTGATTAATTGACTGCACAGCAAAATGCGGTACATAGAAGTTAAGTTATATCTAATATATTTCCAGAAATGGCTTGGTCCGCTGTAGAGTGAGAGGAGAAGAGACCCATTTAACGTACCGCACCCGCGCCGACCCATACGGCTATTGAACTGAAAGATCCTCTTTTAGCAACAATATACACAAATACTAACTACATGTACATAGCCATCCACAACGATAGCAAAATCAAGTTTACTCCAATACTATTCCAACTACATACTCATATCACCAAGCAATGACCGACACCCCAGCCCGCTAGCTAGACCTGGGGCTTCAATTCAGGACAGCCACTGGCGAAGCTTCCCTGGATGCTCGCAAAATCACAGTTGAGCCCAACCACAAGCCCAAAGCGCACGAACAGCAACACCCAAAAGCTCAGTGGAAGTAATAAATAAATTTAAAAACCAACATAAATCATAAGTATCTACAAAGCAAAAAGCGCTCAAACACCCTTCCCACCTCAACTCTTCTCCTTCACCACCTCATCCCCATCCGCCTCCACGACCGCGCTCCTGCCCTGAATCATCGGGCCCCTCTTGCCCGTCAGATCCAAATAGATACTCTTCGCCGTATGCGCCATCGACTTCCTGCCCTCCCACAACGGGTAAATTCCGACCATCATCGTCGATAAGAACAACCACGCAATGCCCACGCCGACCCAGCCCGTGAAGAACTTCTTCGAAAACACATACCCGCTACCATACATTGGGAACGGCCAGAGGATGAGCAGCGACAGCGTCATGACCACAGTGATGATGCGCGCGATCTTGGCGCTCTTGGTGAGGTTCTCCTGCTCGGCGATGGAGTTATCGGAGCTCGAGGGTTGGCCGCGCAGGAGCTCAGGGTCGACGTCCGCGGCGGCGGCAATGTCGGCGTCGTCACTCTTGCGGATGAGGCGCATGGACTCGTAGTCGTAGTTGTCGGCGCCGAGGGCGAAGGTGAGGAGGGGGACGAAGACGACGGGGGAGAGGAGGGCGACTACGTTGCCAGCGAGCATGGGCATGCTGTGGTTGGAATGATTGTTAGTACAATGTAGTGTCAATGATCGCGGGAACGGGTAAAAACTTACTTTGACCCACTGCTCTTGACGGTGATCTCGCCGAACTGTACCTTGGTCGTGACGAGCCAGGCAACGAGACTGCAGGCCAGCCCGAGGATGGGGGAGAAGGTGGCGGCCCATTTGTTTTGCTTCTTCCATAGGAGCGTCAATGATGCGGGGAGCACGGCACTTGAGATCATGACTCCCATGAGAAGGTACAGGTATCCCATGGAGACACCGATGTGCCACAGCAACACACTGAATCCCGCCATCAAGAAACCAAAGATCACAACACACAAGTGCGACATGTAGATCAAGCTCTTTCCGGTGGCCTTGGGGTTAACATATGTTTGGTATACATCATATGTAAAGATACTCGAGACGGCAATAAGCTCGGCAGAGGTCGCGGAGGTGACAGCCATAAAGATCAAGACCAATGTACAAGCCGCACCTCCCTTTCCAAGAAGTGCCACGGCAGCATTCGGAAGAACCAATCCAGCTTCGACATCGATATCCGACATCCTCGCCGGAAAGCCCGGGAACGCTGGGTTGGTCTCGAGCGCCAGACAGGCCAGTCCCATCGTTGTCGCGCACAGCCACGGGATCGCGAACCATGACAGGCCACCAAGTACGTAACCGGGAAGTGCAGAGGCGGGCGAGGCGGAGATGGCTTTGTTGAAGTACCCGTTGTCGCAGAAGACGGTTCCGAAGTTACCAACAATGTTGATGACGAAGAATATTGCGCCCTCGGTGGACTGCATGGTGAGATATGACCCGCCGGCGTTTCCAGAGACGGGGTGGCGTTCAGCAGCTGCGACAAGGAGGTCGTAGACGGCGCCGGGGGAGCCGAGAAGAGGGGAGGTGGCATATGTGGTGAAGGCAAAGATAAAGATGATGACAAGGATCACAACAGTGTGAACGTAGTCTGTGAGGAAGGTTGCCCTGTGGGTTGGGGTTGGGTGGTCAGCAATGCGAGTGCGAGTGCTGGTGTGTGATTGGAACTTACTTGATACCACCGAACAGAGTGTAGATAATCACACCAACAGGCAAGAGGAAACAGGCTGCAGCTGTGCTCATACCAGTCAAAGAAGTAACCACCGCAGACCCGCCGGTCAGCAACATCGCCGTAACCCTACCACATAGTCAATACCAATCCCACCCAAAACCACTCATAGTAATCCGCCACAACTTACAAGATATTAGTACACAGTCCAAAGAACATGAAAGTTACATGCGCCCCAGCACCATATCGCGCTCTGATAACCTCCAAAAACGTATGCGCATTGGGCGCCTTCCTCTTGAGCTCAATGGCCAATGTCGCAAACAACAAGATCTGCACTGTCGCACCACTCGCATACCAGAACGGGCCCGAAACTCCGTACTTGTATGCGATTCCCGATGACTGCAGGAGCGTTGCCGCCCATGTCCATGAACTTACGACGGCGGAGGCTACCAAACCGGTTTTAACGGTACGACCGGCGGTGCTGAACATTTCTGAGGTTTGGACTTCATTCTGATAGCTGTTGTTGTTATGTTGTTGTCAGTATGGGTCAATGAGAGAGAGGGAAGCAAAAGATGAGACGAACCGTTTGAGCGCCCAGGTGGTCGCAATCATACCCAGGGCGAAAAGAAAGCCGAGGCCAATGATTATCCCATACCCAAATGCCTGGGAAAGGGGGGCGGTTGTGGTCGTCATGGTAGGTTTGTCGCAGACGTTGTCTTCTCCGCCGGATCAGGAAGATATAATAAGTAATCCGGGGGCTGTTAGCTTTCAGGATGGTGGATATCGAGATCAATGAGGCCGGGCAGATCAAGAGGTTTATATATTTGTATATTGCTGCCCCTCATAATATATTCCTATCCAAATCTACGCATGTAGAGTACTCTATCTGCTGCACCCCTACGTGACCAGGTGTCTCCATGATCCATTGCATTCCTGCTCCCGATCTTTGGGAAGACCTCCCGGGGAATTCCCTCCAGTATTCCGATCTCAAAGGTCCCACCGCCATGGTGGTACTAGCTAGTCAGATAGATAGAGATACACAATTAAGAAAGTGCAAATTGTATCTCCTATGAATTTCCGCGGGGGGGTACAAAGATTTCTACACTTTTTTACTTCAAACGGGAGAGATCGGTAGAAGAGAAACTGACTGATAAGACAAGAATTGATCATTGCTGGATTAGTAGAGTATTAATTGCCATGCATGCACGCACTTTAAAGTTGACAAGCGAGACCGGTAGCTTAACGGCCCCCCGTCGTCATGCCCATGTCGTATTTCGGCGAGGGATGGGCTTATCGCATGCTTGTGGGGATTACTCTGCTGAGGGTAGGTAGAGTACATGTGCAGTCGTATTGGGTTGGTAGCAGTAGAGTAGCAGTTGGTAATTAGGTTTTGCAAAGGCACGCCGTAGATAAGGACCAGCCCCAGCCAGCCAGCCCTGCCACCTTTAGAAGTAGGGCATGTAAGTTAGCAGTTGGTCGGAAAAACGAAATAGTAGAGTGGCAGTAGATATGATACCCCAGATTCCACAAAAACTGCTAGGAGAAAAAAGAAAGAAAGCAAAAGCTGTAAATCACCACAACTCACCCACAATCACAAAGTCGAAGAGCAGAGTTATTCACTCCCAGCCCAAGCCACATCTCAAAGCCAGCCAGGGTCCCCACGCGAACGAAACCATGGTAGTCTCCGATTCGGCTATAGCCGCTGTCTGTAGGAGAATTGATCAAGTAACACTTCTCTCTTATCTTCTATCGCCGCCGACCAAAACATGTACCCGATAACAATGCTATGTATTTTCTGACCAGCCAGACAGCCAGCCCTATCAAAGAAGCGAGAATTTACCATCGTGTTTTTGTTCAAGCGCGTAATAACATTCAGTTACTTATAGTGTAACATGGCATTCTACTTTAATTGGCAGAAATTGCGAATCGAGAAGATGTAGTTAACTGCAGGTAGGTAGAGAGGATGTACCGGGGAGATTGGGATTGGTGTGACACATGGCCTTTGTCATGACCATCTCACCTCTCCCATCCGATGTCGACGTTGAGATTTTCCGAAGGTTCATGTTTCCGTGGTTTCCAAAACTCCAGTCCTCGCTTCGGTCTCCCCCTTCGTCCTCGGCAAGCTTAAACTGCCCCGACCATCCCGAAAGCCGTCTAGCCGCGCCTTCCAAGACTCGCTTTTTTCCCATCAAGCTTCGCTTGGTATGATACCGGACATGAAAAGTGGGAGCCCGCGCCTTCCCGTAATATCCCCCCACCGGACAAACTCGGGGAGGGAGGCACACGACAATGACGGCGGAGTTATGAGGACTTGAGATTGGGAAGGTTGGAAGATGTGTGATATTCATTACATTCGCCTCCTCAGTTGGGTTGAGCGGTGTTGGTGTTGGAATAACACACGGAGTGGGTCGGGATTGTTTGAGATTGGAATTCAGTATCTGAATCCTCTCGACTGTTTCTTTTTACGGTTCTCTAGCGGCTAGAGGTAGCGAAAATACCCTCGCGTGGTGAGGACCTCATACTTGAAAAAGCATTGGCTTTAGGGGAAGAATCCCCTCATCGAGAAGATATACCAGCTAGTCAGGTACATCTGGTGTACATGGCCAAGAACGCAGTTGTTGTAGCTACATCGATATCGGTTAGTCGCGTAATCTACGGTGGGTTTGAAGGAGTGAGTGACATCCCATGATCTCCCTGGCACCACCCAACCCAAAACGAAATAAAAAGCGTGAGTAAGATTTTCGATGTGCATTTCTATGCCGAATTCCAACTAGCTGCTTCTCGGGTACTGAAGGCAGCGCATGATTCAATGGCTGCAACAAGACCAAACTATTGGATGAGAAAAGGGACGATGGTGATATTAATAGGATTACTAGAGTTTCTAGAGTAGCTTTATCCCATAATCCGGTACTTAGATGCTGCCTATTTTGAGACAGAATAATTACTAAAAGAGGAAGGGTGGCAGCCGAATTGGTGTGTGATCCAGACACAAGCCACGGCTGAAAATACGCCACCCGAATCAATAGGCAGCTTTAACGGACTATGGGATACGATATAATTGAGAACAGGTTGTCACGCCACCTATTCATCGCCATAACAGTTTTAGTATCCCTTCGTCTGGCCAAAAATGCTGACCCCCTAGAAAAAGCAAATTCTTGTGTGGCTTTACTAACAGATCTTGTTATCTCTCTTTATCAAATAATAGATCTCCCATACAAATTTCATTCCTCTATTATAGGGTAGTCAGCATTGCCAGACTAAGGGATACGTAGCGGACGGTCACGTATTCTGTACGACAGTACCTTACTCTCTATGGTCATTGGTTCAAACAAACCCTAGTAGATGCTCCATGGTGTAGATCAAACGATGGTTTACAGGGCCGAAGACGATACTTTCAAATGCTACCGCAAAACACCAATTATTCTTGTACCAACTGCCATTATGCCCTAGAGTAGAGATATGAACATAAACGATGCATAAGCCACCAAAGTAACCCCACGCATTGTCATCCCACGCTTTCTCAACTACCGACGTGCTCATATCTCTTGGTCCCAAGCATCCTTTAAATCCACCAGAGCTCCTGTCTCTTGGTCCCAAGCATTTCATCGAAGATTAACCCTCCCCAAGCTTCCCAAGCTTCCCAAGCCTCCAAGCATCCACTATCGATCGATAGAACTTAATTGTCACGACATCATCTAATAGAAACCCTTATATTTCCAAGCCCAAGCTCAAGCTCAAGATCCTACATTACAACCCCTCTCACGTGCGTGATTACCCCAAGTAACAAGTAACAAAGAAAAGAAAAATAGACATACCGGAATATAAAAAATGAAAAAGAAACACGGAATTTTTCCACCAAGAAGAGAAACCCTGCAAAAGGAAAAACGAACGAGAATGATTCCATATGGCCCATCGATAATCAATCTCTGCCATGCCAGTCTTCGTACGACCACACGCACAACAAAAAAGTAAGAAAATCAGCCGAATAGGCGAGAACCCTGATCTTCCTACAAAGAAACGCCAGCCTCCGGCGCACACCTTATTCTTCTCACCGCGCACCCCAGCAAGCAAGATGAAGAAACGATCGCAGCATTTACATGTATTTATTTACGCCCCTGTCCTCCCGCTCGCCCGACTACTTATACTGCGCGGGCTGCTGATACTGCGGGACGTTTCCCTGTGGGTACTGTTGCGGCGGAGGGCCCTCCTGGTGCTGCATCTGCATGAGTTGCTCCTTATTCCTATATATCAAAATTACTAAATGTTAGCTATCGACTTATGACGCTTCGGTTGTGGAGGTTGTGGAGTTGGGGGTCAGGTTACGAACGTTGTTTGACGGTACGGACAGATGCTACAGCGGAGCTCCTAGAATTCGCGTTTATCAGTTCGGTTCTGGTGGTTGATTGGTTGGTGGAGTGTTTTTACCTCGCCCCAGCCGATGGGGACAACCGGGATAAAGCAGAACGTGAAGAAGTCCCGTTTCTTGATCGCGACGACTGTTTTTCTGGTTAGCTAACTACTACCGAACCGGGCGGGAAAGGTAGTTATTAACCTGAAGGATTATGGCATCTCTACATTCACCCCCAAAATGTCAGTAAAAAAGGGTTTCCCTCTCACGCCAGGGTGTAGTGCGCAGCGCGCGAAGGTAACGCTGGCTACCAAGTGTAACTTACTGGGCATTTAGCTCGGATATGCTCGTACCCCTTGAGCGACGACGAGAAGTCCTGGGTTCCGCATACGAAGAAGAAGAACATGGTGATCAATCAGTCAGTGGGTGATTTGAAAAAAAGGTGGCGTTTTAACTGTAGTAGTAGAGGCGTGTATGTATTGTAGTGAATGGGGAATGGGGGAGCGAGCGAGCGAGAATGTCGTCGATGATTTAAGTTGGCTCGCTCCCTCAAACCCCCCCAGGAGCTCTGTTCGCGCCGTGGCGTGGTGTGGCTGTGGGTTGCCGGTTTGGGGGGGGTTGCCCAGAAAGGGCTTACGACGCCTCCCAAGAGATTTGTGAAGTTATTTAGCTGGGCTTTTCATCTTTTGAACTTTTGAAAACAGCCCCTCTATGATGGAAAGAGGAGGGGTGTTTATAAATAGAATTATTTAAGCATGATAATCATTCCTACATCCTGCGTGCGTGGCTAAAAGCTGGATAGAGCCCATCAGGGGTCTTGGGGAGGGGTTCACTAATGTTAACTGTTTAGCTGGCCAATAGCCTGTTCACGAGCTGGGATGTGTGGTTGTGGCTTGTCGTGTGAATAGCTTCAGTCAACCTCACGACGTGCGTACTTCTTAGATGCCAAGTGCTAGTACACGACATCAAGAAAGTTCCCGAAAGGTCGTTTTGTTTTTGTAAGCAATTAATCAGAGTGCAGATTCTGAGGCTAGAGTATCGTCCTTTGAGCCAACGAAACTAGATATATTTCAGGAAGGGACCCACTACTGAAAGCGTTGTCTCCAATACTTACGCTACATGGTGTCTCATCTTCGAAAAGCTTCGCCGTTAGGCAAATAGCTATCATCTACGGAATGAAGGTAAATGTCTTTATATCCCACGATATCTACTAAGGATAAGTCAGTAGTATATGGAGGTAAGCATAAGCTAGCAGAACAACGCCTTGAGCCACAAGGCGTTCTCTAGAACTTTACGTGGTTCGAGAGGCTTATTTGAGAAGTGGGGGGGGGGGGGGGGGGTTAGGCGTGCAAGCTTCAGGCTCTTTTTAAAGGTAAAAAATCACTCATCAACCAACCTACAGAAACCTGAAGATCTGCCCTAACGCTGCTAACAATATACGTAGCGTTTTCCTGGCACATCCACTCCTATGGCTTCTTACACTTACTTGTACACATAACCGGCGCCAGGGTGATTGATATTGACAGGGTTAACTTCTCCAATCTTCAGCCTGCACTACCGCTCACGACTATGATAGATCGTTGACAATCCATTTACTTCACAGCTTCTATACTCATCCCCTTCCTACTCCTCCTACAGGCCTCTCCTGCAACCCTCTCTTCCATCTCCTACTTCTCGAAGAGAGAGAACCAGAAGATCTTCTCCTATCTTCTAGTATCGTACCAGTCGGTCCCTCGCTCCCCCATGGAGGTAGATTGGATCTTCCTCTACTCCTCCATCCCTCCCACCCTCCCTCAGTCACCGTCTTCCCACACAACAAGGGCTCTACAAGACCTAGCCTCGTTCCCCCTTCGTCGCTCCTCTCACAACTACATACAGCAATTACTCGAGAGCTGATGGACCAAGAAAAGCATCATTGCCACAGAGTGATGGCTTCTTCTACTCTACGACAACCGCCGATGCACGAAACGAGCCGGCCCACAGGAACGATGATTCTAATTATATGTGTGATCGCATAATTCATTTCTCTTCGTTAAGGACGTGGGAATCACCGAGGGGATAGACCAGGTTTTATGTCCTAATGCCATTACGCTACCTTCATTTGGCACAGTGTGAGATACGGAGACATGTGCTGTGGTGTATGTACGATCGCTGGATCATCAATAATCACTCGCCCCTCGTACCCCTAGCAAAATTACTGATTGGTATATGTTCCGTCCCAGTCACGAGTATATCACATTGGCCAACAGGCCGGCCCATTGCCTAACTGGCCATCCTGTCGACAAATATTTCCTATTGACCAATTCTTCCTGAGATTTAACAAACAGTCACTGATCTTCTGTCCAGCTGGCCAATGCCTGCCAGAATTTGACCAAAGTTGACTAATATATAGCGGTGATTGTTAATATTGTCTACATATGTAGTTAACTTCCAAAAGCCATCGCCTAACAACTGAGAAACTCAAAGAACACATTCTACCATACCTACATGTATGTACCCTTGCCCCCGATATACTACCATCCTAGGTCTACGAAAGTAATGCAAATAAATATTTCTTTAATAAATAGCTAATTATGGTACGCCCACTCTTAAAGGTGACCGAAAATTGGAGGGAGGTCGATGGCTAATAACTTTTTAACAAAAAAAGTTAAAAGAAATCGGCTCGGTATAATTGCAGCACTAGCAATGAAGTAACGTATTTGACCACGAACCCGACCGTGACCGGGTAACCGTCCAACACCGTCCAAGTTTGCCCCAGTAAAAAAAATCTTCGGGTAGTGTTGTGAATAGCATGAATAGCGCTAGCATTCAAGTTCCCACCATCATTCAGAGTTCAAAATGCCGAGACTTAAGGGTAAAAAATGGGAGGAGCGTGAAAAATTAATTGAGAAGGCAATGACCCACTACAGGGAATCAGGTAACTCTGCAAGTCTCCGGATTTCCGCCGAGACTTTTGGTATCTCTTGGAGTACCCTTCGAGATAGGCTAAATGGAGCACAAAATAGGCGAGAGGCACACAGGGCACAACAATTGCTAAATGAGGATGAAGAAGGATGCATAGTGAGATGGTGTCAACGCATGGACGATTGGGGTTTTCCTTTGAGACTATCTCTTGTGAAGGAGTTAGCCGCATATTTGGTCTCTAAACGGAAGGGCCCAGGGTACAAGCTAGGACAACATTGGTTGAGCAGATTTTTGGACCGGAACCCAGAGCTTAGCTCCAGGTTTAGTGGACGTCTAGACAGGCAGAGGGCGGTAACAAATAACCAAGAATTATTAAGGGACTTTTACAAAAAGGTATTAGGTATATGCAAGCCGCCATCACCGAGGCGGACGATCTGCACCCCGCATTAGTTCAATTTCGAATTTTGCTAACTGCTTATAGTTGAAGGAGGTGACGGCCAAATACGACGTCCTACCGAAGGATACATATAATATGGACGAAAAGGGTTTTATGATGGGCATGTGTGCAAAAGTGAAAGTCATTTGCAGAGCAGGACGGAAAAATCCTCACCTCACACATTCCGGCAATCGCACATGGGTGACAGTCATTGAAGCAGTTTCTGGAACGGGGGTAGCATTACCGCCTATGATTATCAACCAAGGTACGGCTCATTATAAGGGCTGGTATGCAGGGGTAGAGCATCAAGATATCGCGACATTTGCCTATTCCCCAAAGGGTTGGACGGATTCAAAGCTAGGGATGGATTGGTTGGTTGAGAATTTTGATAAATATACATCCGAAGTGTAAGTCCTACCTATTAATGTTGGGTAATAAGGAACGCCGCACGCCGAGCGATAGTGAACGCCGCATGCCGAGAGCGCCGCACTTATAAAAGTATTATTAGTTGGGTAGTACTAATTGAATTATAGGGCACAGGATAGATGGCGCCTCCTAATACTAGATGGACATGCATCACATACCACTTGGGAGTTCTTTGATTATTGTCTCAACAATAAAATCATTCCTTTCTGTCTACCCCCACATTCCACCCACTTGTTACAGCCACTTGATGTGGGATTGTTCGGACCATTACAAAAACATTATTCTAATGTTTTAGATGAGGCTATGGAACAGTCTGGGGGTGATACCGGCATCAATAAAGGAACCTTCCTAAAGTAGGTTATGGCCCCTACGCCGAGCCCTTTCTGAACCACGCCGAGCCCGCTCCGCATCGCCGAGAATTGGCTAACATGTTTTAGCTATCTATTTGAAGCTAGAAGGAGAACCTATACCTCTCATAATATCCTGGCAGCATGGGCCAAAACAGGAATAATGCCCTATAATCCCCGCCGGGTTTTGCAGCCAACCCCGCTTAGTGCATCCACTGTACTAGTAGTCTCAGGACCCACCACACCCAAAAACACCAGAATGGCGAGGTCAACTGCAAGTCAAGCTTTAGCACTAATAAGAGGAGGCTCAAAAAGCGCCGAGAAATTGCGCACTCTAGTAAAGCAACTGGACAAAGGCCTGCAAATATCTTTAACAGAGAAGGAAATAGGTGATCATGTACATGCTCAGTTCAGAAAATCAGTAGCCAAAAAAGCGAGCCAAGCCTCTACTAAAGACAGAAAACAACTCAGTAAAGCAAGAGTAATTACTACTGAGGATGTGGAGAGGCTTAAAAAGGCTAGAGATGCTGCAGACAGTAAAAAAGCAGCACAGGCTTTGGCTAGGGAAGTCGAAAAGAGGTCATTGGGCAAAAGAGTTACTATAAGCGAAAATATTTCTGTACATTCTATAGATACTAGTCTAGATGTTGAGGAGGTGGAAGATTCAGAGTGGTCAAAGGTGATAGTTGAGGATACTAGCAGTAGAAGATCATGTAGGAAGAGGGTACCTTCAAAAAGGGTTCAGGATTAAATTTTATACCCCTTTATAAGGGCTAGAATTAACAAAGAATAAATTGTATTTATTTAGAGCCAATTTGGGCCTCAATCGTGGGCAATCGTGGGCACTCGTGGTCCCGCTCGTGGTCGCTCGTGGCAATGATCGAGCGCGCGCGAAAAAACGAACGCGGTCGGTTACCCGGTCACGGTCGGCTTCCCAGTCAAATACGTTATATCAATACGAGCAGATTTTTGATATCTGTTCTAGTTGTGAAGTTATTAGAGCTTGAAATTCGGTATTTTTGTATGTAAAAAGCGCCAAGACTGAACAAAGTGGAACAGTATTATACCCATTTATATCCCTAGAAAAGCAAACCTGACTGATCTGTGGCAATGATGCAGCAGAATGGCTAGAGATAGACCTTCTTATTGGCCCATGAGGCCCTATTACAGCCACAATTGTTCCACTTCCGTATGTCGCCGTGTCACCTTTAAGAGTGTGCGCACCATACATGTAACTAGGGCCAACAACTTTCCGCCGAAAAAGATGAGAATTATATAGTAAAATCCCCTGTAAGCGAAAAGTAAGAGCTCGTTCACCAATTATGGCCCATTGGCCAATAATTAGTGTTTGCGACTGGGACGGGACATACATGAACAGAGTCTGATTCCCAGAGGCGGCACCCCAAAGGACAGCCAGCACCCAAAGGTCTATTTCTATACGAAGAGTTAAGACTAACTAACCAACCCAAATAAGCGTCAGCGACAGCTTTTTTATTCATTTCTCTAAAAAAACGGCCCTCGTCGAATTAAAATACATTTTTCGGTACATACATATCCACCCATTACCGATAAAAATTTCCCGATCCCGATAAGTACTCCCAATCCAGTCCCAAGCCGAAACTAAATGTAAATAAAACTGAAGGAAAGAAAAGAAACAAAAAGCAAGAGACCCCTCCCAAGAAAGAACAAGAGAAAAAATATAAAAAAAAATGAAAAAAGAATAACAAGCCAAATTGCTTGTGAGCCAACTCCAGCGGGATTGGGTCAGTGAGGAGATGTTAAATCAACTCTATCCCATCCATACTCGCCTCGCACTCCCCCATTGCAGCCCAGCTCAGCAACAAGTCTATGGGGGAGACAGAAGAGAATAAAAACAATAATAAAAGGAGTGAAAAGAAATTCGTGCGGCAGCGACGCGTTAAGCATTAATCCTAAGCCTTTACTCCTTCATTTTACTCCTCCTCCGCCGCGCCCTCCTTTTCTTTCTCTAGTAGCTCTTCCATCGACTGAAATATCGACTCAGTAGGTAACCTGGTGATATTCTCATCAAACACAGGCCCAATTGACGACATCCATTTCTTCCTTCTCTCCATAAGTGTGCGCGCTGCCTCGCCGATCCCAATACGTGCCTGGGCAACACCAACACCATTGGGAGCCGACTTCTTCTTCTTGGTAGCCTTCATGTTGCGCGTACGTTTCGAGTATGCTTGTTCGACCTGCGTTCAATTGGGTTAGCTTTATGCAGACAATGTAGAAGAGAGTGACGGGGAAACAAACCTGTTTGTCCAAATCGTCCAAAATAGTTGCATACTCCTGGTGCGCCAATTGCTCCTTCAGATGCTCCGCGATGCGTGCCTTCCTCGCGCCATTAATAAGACTCTGATCCCGGAGTTGTTTCTGCAGTTCTCGGAGCTTTGCACTGACGTCATCGTCCTCCCTGGCCTTCCAATCGGGCTCACTATTTGTTCCAAGCAAACCTATGTACTGCATTTCCTTCTGTAATCGCTCTTCTAGTGTGTAGTAGTCTGATTTTCCTGTGGGCACCTTCCATCCAGGCTGTGTGGCCTCTGGCATTGTTGTTGCAGAGGGTGCCGAGGGTGCCGAGTCATGGGTCGGTGTTTCTGGTTCTGGGGCCGAATCAATGGTTCCTTCTTCTGGTATCATTGCGGCCATTATGCGGGATAATAAAGGTCCGCATGAAATTTCCTCCTTTTCAAGGACATCGTCGCTCAGAGCATCAGAGCTGCCCTTTGGTACATTAGGGTTTTTATTGCTCGCCGGAGCGGGAGACGCGAAGCCTCCGTCCTCGGCTGCCCAGACTTCGGAGTAGTGTTGGCCCAATGTGGGCATGATGTATGGTGTTACCCTATCCCCTCTTTCCCTGAGAAAGCCGAGGTCCTCTTCTGAGAATGGGCGGAAATAAGGGTCGATGTAGGTGTTGAATGTATTCATGGCAACCTGGTTCGACGGCTTCGCTTTGGAGAAGTCCTCATCGGGAGGATCGCCGGGACCTAGATCTATCAAGTCTACGGTGGGGAAGCGGGTTACGGAGAATGCTTTCGCCTTCTTCTCGTAGGGCCAGCCTTCGGTTGATGTAGGGATTTCATAGATGGTGGGGTCATCGTCTAAGGTTTCTAATACTGTGTATGGAGGAGCTGGAGCTTGCTGGTGTTCGGCGTCTGAGGTACGGGATTTTGATGGAGATGTGCTTGTACGGGAGGGTGATTCGCCTTTGTGCTTCTTTCTTCTCTCTATTTGAGCATCGACGCAAGTTAGCATCGTCGTTGACACGTAAATCACAACCCACCCATATGAAGCTGACCTAGCAACAACGACCCCCTATACTTGTTTTGACTGACCTTTGATATCTGATGGACCCTGATCTGTGGCTTGATGTGCGCCAACAGCCAGGGGCCTCTTTCCATCCCCGGACTTCTTTTCCTTTCTCTTCCGGTCCTTATCCTCCTTGACCTTATCCCGCTCCGCCTTCTTCTCCCGCTCCTCCTCATCCTCTGCTGCCTTCCGTTTCCGCTCCTGCTGCTCCTGCTCTAGCTCCATCTTCTCCTGGCGTTCCTTCTCCTCGATCTTCTTCTGCTCAATCTTGGTTGACAGATCTCTCAGCGACTTGTCGCACACCCGACTCCTCCCCTTCGCATTCGAATCCAGCGTCAACAGCTCCGAGCGTAGCGACGAGAGATTTGTCGACGTAGGTATTGACGACGAGTCCGATGACGAGTTGTTGACGTACTTCTCCAGCACCTCGTCGTAGTTGACACGTAGATTCCCGATCGCCTCTGTGGACAGGTGCGTGATTTCCGAGAAGGCACTTGTGGAGGCCGGTGTGGTGTTCCTGCTTCGTGAGCGACGTTGAGAGCTAGCTCCTCCAGGACCGCCGCCGCGAGTCTTGCCTTTACCTTTCCCGCCTTTCCCGGACATTGTACCGGGAGGGTGAGAGGATGGGAGGAGGGGCGACAAGCTACAGTGGTTTTAAGGTAGTGGTAGGTTGTGCTGCTTGTGGGAGGGGGAGAGGGGGTGGGTGGGTGGTGAAGGGTTTTTTTTTTTTTGTTATGTTCTGGATAGCGGAGAGAGAGGGGATGGGGGGGAGTTTATTTTTGACAAAACGCGACTGGGGGGTGGAGAAGAGGCTGGGTGGTCCGGTCTGGGTGGGGTATGGGAAATCAGTTGTGGAGATTCATAATGGCGTAAATCAGGGAGACGACGTTGATGGTTTGATTTCCGCCAAGGCCAGTGTAGCGCACTCCAGGAGCGGTTTAGCCTGATGGTGGCGCTAGTACGGAAGCTCAAAGACGCGCTGCCCTTTTAAGCTAGCTAGAGCTAGGTGTTCGTGTTCCCTACATGACATATGCTCCGCGTTATCATATCGCGATGATCTATGCTGTCTGTCTGTCTGTTCTGGCTGTCGCGTTGCACACGCCACCACTGCGCTGCACTGCTGGACATCCATCATACGTAGGGAGTGCATGGCCTGCAAGCAACTCAGCTATGACATTGATGAAAAGAAAAAAACGGGCAGATAAGACAGCTGCAGCACGGCGTCCTGTGAATATAAAAAAACCTCGCATCTCTCTTCCCACCACTCACAAAGTGGCAATCGCAACCCCGCCGGTGGTGGCAAGGGCTTAAAGGGGCCTCATGTATGTCAGCGTCCTGATGAAAACCGCGGCTTGAGCTCAGGCGGGGTTTGCAAATCGCATTCTTGAATTCTGCGTTTTTTCATCTGAGCTATTATAGAGTTTACTCTTCGTCCTCTTCTTCTGGGTATCTATTATTGGTAGTTTGGACCCTTTTTTATGTTTGTTACTGGAGGTTTGGGAGGAGGAGCCAATCAGGTGTCAATGTTTGATTTGGCAGGAAATAGCGAGGGACGGATGTAACGTTATATGTTTAGGGACTGAAATAGTTTCAGCCGTACATACGTAGAATGACATCAATTGGAGATGATACGTATATATATAGGTGCGGTGTATACCTTCGTGTGTGGCCCTCGAAATAAATTGTCAGGTGGTACGGTAGGGTTGTTTGCGTTTGCTCTCTGTGCGCTCTTCTCGCGGTAGGGAGACAATTACTCCTTCCTATAGAAAGGAGCTACGCAAATAGAAATAGCAACACAAGTACACCCGTGCCCTTTCCACTGGGTTTTGTTTTTCCTTTTGGATCGGAGATGTGAGTGATCGCGGGTCGTGGTCTTAAGCCCAGCAGAGACATTGAGACTGTTTAAGCCCTTTCCACTAGAGATTGTTTCTAGAGTCCTCCATTCCAGTTTACCAGAGGCGCTGATGGGAGGAACAGATCACAGGGCAAACCCTAGGACAGGATACGGTGCTTTGTGCGATTACTGTGAGATGACGGCGGCACGTCGTGTAACTAAAGGTTTCTGGTTGGTTCATGGGATATCACTCGACGAAGGAATTGCTAAGAAACGAAGAGAGAGGGGAAAGAGGAGCAGTGCGGCTGAACAGTCGGGGTTCACTAGCCACGGCACCACCGGGGTAACACATTTCAGGCGGTATATAGCTGCTTGATATAGGTAGTCGAGAAATCGCGGGGTTTGGTAAAGACGATCAGTAATGATAGAACCAGCCAGAACCTTTCCTCTCACTCTTCTCACTAACTTCCCTCCTCTCTTTTTAGATCTATATCAACCAAAGCCAACTAACACCCTCTGAGATCCGAAAGAACAATTAACCATTCGTGACGATAAGCATTCCATATCTTAAGTTCCACTTAACC